ATGTCCGGCCAAATGATGGATTTTCAGACCCCCCCTCCCCCCCTTGTCCGACATTGTCCGAATTAGTGACCCCCCCCCTCCCCCCGGACATCCGCCATGCCTCGCAAAAACTCACGCAACCTTGTATATATCAAGAGTAAAAGGCTTTTTTACTTTTAGAACTTTTTTATAACTGTAAATGTGAACACAAAAACATATAAATTACTAATTAAAACAAAATCTAGTGTTAACCGCATAGTCAAAATGCCAATTTCACAATGGGAAGGACTGCTCAAAATAGAGGGAAAAAGAAATTTGTTTTTGAATTTTTTAAAATTTCGGACATCCGGATTGCTAAAACCCCCCCTCCTCCCCTATGTCCGAGTTTGTCCTGATTTTCCAAACCCCCCTCTTTCCAAACCCCCGCCATTGTGAATGGCCCCTAACCATTTACAAAGCAAATTTACCATCATTCGTCCAAAAAATTATAAAAAGTCGCTGTTACTGGTGTGGACTTATCTCGCAGACTTCGGCTGAAAAGCCACCCAAAAATGGCGGCGTGAGAAAGGCTACTGGGCGTTGGTAGTTGGTGGTTATAGTTTGCTCTTACCTCAAAGATAGAAAATTGTCGTATCGTAGTACCCCTTTGTTGATACCACAGCATAGGTGAACGAGGAGGGGGGCTCCAGAATTGGAGATTGTCCTTAAAAATCTGGCCATTGTTTTGCAAATATTGATGGAAAGAAATGGGAAACGGGTAATAGATTAACGGACGGGAATGCGTAAACTGTTTCCTATGCAATTCACAGTTCATACATTGTACTACTAACAGTTTATATAGTTCATACATTATACTACCAATACTTATCCTTAAAATACTCATTAAAAATTCATAAACCTTGTGGCAAATCATGTCAGCCATAATATGTCACGTGGAGTGACTCATCTTCATTAGTATTCTTTATATAATTTTTCATCCCAATAAGTACGAAGGAAGAAATTAATAACGTGGAGAAAATGAATATTCTGTCAGGACGGGGGAGAGAATTGTATGACGGAAAACGTTTGTAGTAGCTGGGCAATTTCATGTACGTCGGGCAAAACTTCCACCCCCGCCCATAATTTTTTCTCTCGTACTTGTTACATTGTATTCTAGTGTATTCAAATTGTATTCTATGGTTAAGTATTTCTATGTGCCCCCTATGTCGTTGCCACGTTCTTCGAATATCTGGTTATCCGTTATCCGTTGTCTACATCTAAATCACTGACGTTGAATTAAATGTTAAAAAAGGCGGAAGCGGAAAGACAGGTGCGGGAAATTGGAATGAGGCATGGTGGGACAATGGGATTTGAAGTGAAATAAATCGGATGGTGGGATTTCGGATTTCGAGATGGTGGGATTTCGGAATCGAACCCGGCATGGTACAAGCCCCTCAATATAGCTCTATAACATGACATAAAATTCGGTCAACTGAAATTAGTCCACAATGATAGAAAAGATATTCTCAAAAACAGATAAAAAGGTTTCAAAATGTTATTCATTATTACACTAAGATGGAATCTTTATTTATTTATAAAAAATACATGAATGTCTAACTCTGGCGCTGCGATCACGTTTCGTATAGAATTATTTTTATATTTTATTTGAAACCTAAACGCAAAACCTAAATCCTTTAAAATGATTTTCTAATACAGTCTAAGGAGGGTTAATTGGCAACTGTGGGCAAACTTTAGTTGCTTGCAGTCCAACTTTTTAACCAAATAGAACGCCGACCATATCTGAAGAAAAACAAAAAATATTTTAGATTTTTAGCACGTACTTTTAACACAAATTTTTTTAATTATTCCGGTTTATTATATAAAGTATAGTGCTTTATTATATAAAGTATAGTGCTTTATAGAGATTTCGAGCACTGATAAAAGTGATAATCTCACATGTGAGATTATTTATGATAATCTCACATGTGAAAATTATCGCTTTTCAACTTTCGCTTTTCTGTAAAAAATATCGCTTTTCAAAGACTGTCCTTTATATAATAAACAGAAAAATACATGGGTGCTTGGAAATACCAGATTTATTTCTCATGTTAACATGTGAAATAAATCTGGTATTTCCGCGCACCCATCTCATTCCGTTCCACCCATCTCATTCCATTCCACTCATCCCATTCCACCCATCTCATTCCATTCCATTTCACCCATCTCATTTCATTCCACCCATCCCATTCCATTCCATTCCACCCATCCCATTCCACCCATCTCATTCCATTTCATTCCACGCATTCCACCCCATCTCATTCCATTCTACTTATCCCATTCCATCTTATCCTATTTAATATCATCTCATCCCATCTCATCCCATTTCATTCCACCCATTTCATTCCATTCCATAACAATGAAAATCAGATTGAAATTTAGCTGACAAGTGACATCGAAAGACTCACATTACACGATACCGGATTCGCATCGGAGCGTGTCGAGCGAGCGGAGCGACATCGACTAAAGGCTAGTTTCCACTCAGGAAAATTATCCGTGGATTGGAACGAACAAGAAAGTTTTTCTTTGTCTTGTGAGCTCTGGGTTGAAACTTTTCAGCCTCTCACAACTTTTCATATTTGAAGTTTTTGACTACTTCTGCTATATTATCATAATTGTTAGTGCTAAACTCTCCTTGAAACTGCAAAGTTTGATGTCGCTCCGATGCGAATCCGGTACCGTGTTTCTGGGACCTCAGACCCGTTATCTCATCCCAATAATATCATTCCATTCTGCTCTATTCGGCGTGCCTTTCAACACAAAAACATCTCACCATCATTTTTAATATTTCCCCGACCACTCTTATCAGCTGCTTTTACAACACCATCCACTTCATCATTTGACATTTTTTCAGCCAGACTGCTCAAGATCTTCTTCCATTCGCTTGCCGAGATAGTTCCGCCTGGACTAAACGTTTTCAGAGCCTCCTTAAGCTCTTCTCGTAACGCCGTCGCTAGCTGCTTCGCCATCATCTGACAGAACTCGTCGAAATCCACCGCGCCAGATCCTGAAGTACAAAATGTGAACCATTGTGAAGTCAAAACTTTATCTGAACTTACACTGAAGTACAAAACTGTATCAAATCCGAAAATATCAAGACAGTGACTCGGATTGATGTACATATTGTATTGACATATGACTGTTGATATTGCTTTTTAGTCTTCAATATTTGAGTGAGTCATGCTTTGGAAATGACAATACATTTTTATTACCCAACCCTTGAGTTGTTTTGTTTTTCATTTACCCAACCTTTTTATCGGTTCTACCTGCCGATTCAGTTTTCAATTTCGTACTGTGAGTACCCGCAGTTTAATTAAATATGAGCAGTTGCAGATCTTTATGCATGGGCATTTAATATTTGATCTTTATGGGGACTTGTTAAATTAAAGTACTTGTAAAACGAATTTATTTGTTTACTTTATTAGTATTCACCGCCCATGGGAACAATCTCCCGCTTCATTAGCATGTACTTACAGTTGATTTCACGAAAGTTTGGCCACGCCAATTGCGAGGTTGGTTGGGAATTTGGAAACTATATACACGAGATAATCAAGTTGATTGGAAACCGGCCAACAAATTCGGAAGTTTCGCATCAAATTATCGAAATTCGTGATGAAATTCCGAACCAAGTTCGCAAGCAAGTTCGCAAATTGCAAACGATTTTGGCGGTACATCTTAAAAACTAAACTTATTTTATTAAACTTCTTCATTTAATAATAAATAATATCATAACAATAATAATTTCAGTCGAATATGAGCGCGAAAGGCTGCTGGGAATCTCTAACAAGTTATTAGTTTTTAAAATTTATTTCCAAAATCGTTTGCAATTTGCGAACTTGCTTGCGAATTTGGTTCGGAATTTCGTAACGAATTTCGATAATTTGATGCGAAACTTCCGAATTGGATTGGCCGGTTTCCAATCAACTTGATGATCTCGTGTTTATAGTTCCCAAATTCCCAACCAACCTCGCAACTGGCGCGGCCAAAGTTTCGTGAAATCATCTGTAAAATCTGAATTAGTATTGATAACACTTTCATAAACATCGCCGCTTCTGAATTGGTATTCATAACGTTCATAAATATCCCTCTAACATGACTTACTCATCTTTAATGCGGTTTTTGTTTGTAGCCTTATTCATTATTCAAACCATAATACTGAATCTAAACTCGTAAAAATCTCACAGCTTGTCAACAAGATGTGTTCGCATTGTTTGTTCCAAGTGGTTGGCAAGTCTGGAACAAGTTGATATCATCTTGCAACAAGTTTGATGAGGCCAACAGACTTGCAACGAGTTATTCCAACAAGTCTGATACAGTCATGATATAACAATATTGTTACAACCTTGTGTGGTCAACCTTGTAACATTCGTGTTATATTATGACTGTATCAGACTTGTTAGAACAACTTTGTAACAAGTCTAATAGTGCCATCACGCTTATCACAAGTTGTTTACAGCTTGTTCCACATTGTTAAAACAACTGGGAACAAGCAGTGCGAACACAACTTGACGACAGCTTGTGAACAGATTTATAACTTGTTTGCAGACCTGTAACAACTTGTGCGTTTTTACGTGTGTAATAGGTCAAGCACTTTAGCCCACAAATGCGTGTATGTGTTGCAATTAGGAAAGCGTTAAATACGCACCATCTTCATCAACTTCATTGATCATATCTGCGAGTTCTTCAGCTGATGGGGCTTGTCCTAACTTCGCCATAACGTCTTGAAGTTCCTCCGTGGATACCGTTCCATCTCCATCCACATCAAACATCTTGAATACTTCCTTAAACTCTGCAATAATCAAGTGAGGAGGATATTTATATAGTGGCTATTATTTACGGCGCGGGGAAGGTAGCACCATTGAACTATAAATAAACTGGAAGGCTAACTCAGGGGGGGGGGATTGAAGCCAGTGCATTTTAGTTTTTCTGAGTTATGAGCAGAAATACTCAACACTGAACGTTGGGCTATATATCAAATTAAAGCTATTGAAAAACTCTATTTGGTGTAGAAATTTCAAGACTTTAGCTAAAAGGGAAATATTGAAAAACTACAAACATAATTACCGATAATTTGCCGTTTTGCAGTTGTTTTTGTATTTTTTAAAGATTTTTCTTTTCGCTGAAGTCTTGAAATTTCCACACCGAATAGCAATTTTCAATAGCTTCAATTTGATATATAGCCGACGTTTGGGGTCAAGTATTTCTGCTCATAACTCAGAAAAACTATTTTGGCTTCATCAAATCATAGGCCTTCATCATAGCAGTTAGCCTTCCAGTTTATTTATAGTTCAATGGGTAGCACCGAAGCTCTCTCCTCCGCAGAGGCTTTAGTTTCTTAGGATTTAATATTACGATGAGATACATTTCACTACACTTTACATGGCGGATCTTGGAACACGACCGAAGAGAAATGTTTTCTTTGGTAAAAATTTTACTGATCAACCATTATTAAAAAGTAAAAAAAAATTTACCCAACCTCAAATATCAATAAAAAATAAACACCTATTTCGGTCAGCGAGAAAACATTTCAACAAATTTAATTTGCAAGCGAGATCTCGCCTTGGTATGAAAACAATATGAAAAGTTAGACTGCGTTAATGTGAGATGGAAAGTTTTCCCGTGTACCGAGATCTCGCTTGTTTACCGGTGAGATCTCGGTGACCGGGATAATGTTTTCCACTTTTCCCATATGAACACAACATATCCACAATTATCCAGCTTAGCGGGAAAACTTTCTGTCGTGCCAGCAACTTTTCTGTTTTTAACTTTTCCCGGCTTGCGCGTCACATCAGTGCTACGTCACAAGCCGGAAACTTTACCCGGTAAGCGGGATAACGTTTCTCCATATGAACAGAACAAAATTATTTGGCTAGTCGAAAGGTTTTCTCGCTAACCGGGATATAACATTTCCCCATATGAACAGAGTACACCGTAATGGCTCGGTCACAATTTGTGATGAATGATAAAACGACTACACCTTATTAATTATTTGACATAACAAACGAAATCTAACAGCGAACACGGAGTTCTATTGTACATAATGATATTTATACTAGATACTGTAGCTCTATAAAGTCTCAACTCTCATGTTACGATAGGCCATGCATTTGGATATTATAGTATACCCACCATCTCTTTGCGCGTCTGTGATGTTGTAACTCTGCAATAAGAAAACACACGTTACAAACTAATTGCATTTCAAATTTTGAACTATCGTTATAGATACATTGTTTTCAAAACAGTATATACGAATCATTTTGCAAACAGGACATACAAACATTGTGTTAAAAGAACTCCAAAGCTAAATTCAGTCTGTGAGCGGGCCCGTTTCACAATTTGCAGCAAAATTCAGAAGCTGTCCTCGATGTTGCCCTGTGAGCAGTTATTCATGCGGGTAATGGCGCCGGCTGTTTTGTGTGGTTGTATAAGAAGCGATCGAAAATCACCATAAATTGCTGCAATTATGCGACTTTAAAACATTTAATGAGTTTTTATTTCGCTATAACCGTTCACAGAGGTTTGAGCCAAGTGTTTCATAATACATCGATGCCACACATGTCATGTAGGCAGCTCTTTAATAATGCTCGTGTTGTGTGCTTGATTTACACAGTACAACTCAAGTTGCAAGCAGGTTGCATGCGACAGTTTTCGGCAAACGTTGTGTAATGTAAATCGGCCCTAAACTGGCCTTGTGTCTTGTGAAAGCGAGCAAACTGATATCATGGCGGTTCATGTAATGAACAATTTTTAACTGTCGTCTGTGTCGACTACAGTAGTTTACACAGCCTTGAAAACTATATAATATGATAGGGGTTTTATTTTTCTATCTTTATTATAAAACCCCATATGCAGAGACAAACCACTCTCAGTCTGTTTGAGAAATTGCTTCCATTTGTTAAACGTCATTGTCGCATTGAAACGGTACGAACAATCGCTATTCACTGTCGCCAATTTTGGACTGGCTGTTAAAAATAGAGGTCGCTTTTCACGCTGTGAATTTTTTGTTATATCTGTTTTGCTTTGTGTGCGTACAATATTAACGTATACACAGTCTTATAGCAACCAGATAATTCGACTTTATATGCCCTAAAACGAAAACTTAAAAGAACAGAAACCATATGTTATTTTTCTGCAATGGTTTGAACTGACATTTTTGCCGCAAAAGTTTGCGCACACATTACAACCAGGGTGGAATTTATGGCTTTAAGTAAGCGATACGAGGCAACAGATGGTCGCCAAATATTGACCCTCCTATACTATAGGACTAGAGGAGATAAAATTAAGCTACAGTTCTCAATTCCGCGTACGAGAATGGTGATTTAACTGCTAGTTTGAGCATTGCCACATTGACAATGTAAAATGTAAAATGTAAAGTATATAAGATTTTCAAAAGTTCAAGTGCGATTAAAAGCGATTGGAAATTATGGGATTTCTCGTAAATGAATCGTTTAAACATCATTATTTACTGAAGATGCAGCCTAAGCTTTTAATTGTCATTCTAAAACATACCAGACTAACGACGTCTACACCACATTTTTTTGGTAATGGGAATGGTTGTTACAAATGGGTGATTTCATAACAGATGAGCTAATCTCAACGCGACAATTCTGTAGTTTGTTCAAAAGGTTAATAAGCTGTGTTAATATGCGTTTAAATAAACATCACATCGAAGACGGGAATGCACAACATTTATAACAGGTGGTTTCGAATTTCCATATGTAACTGACATAAACAATGTCAATGTCTTATAAAATACTAAAAAGATACTTTGAATGTCTATATTAACAACGTTAAGGACTTATTTTGAAGCAAACTAACACTGAGTTTAAATGGAAAACTAGAATAACGAGGCGAAAGGCCGAAATCCCCCGAATAGAGGCGAGGGGTTTTAAAAATTGTGTCTGCATATTAATGAGTTTGGTAGACTACACACTCGATATATAACGCATGTGTACAAAGTTGGTAACGGGTTTATATGCCTATAATTCTCGATATTAGTAAAGTTGTAGACCTGTTTGTTACTTGTACAAAACCTAGTATGTTTATTTTGAGAAGAACATGATATTTTGAATGACAGATTTTGAACATCGCCTCAGCATGTAAACACTCTTTCAACATGGCTGCCCGACTTGTGGTCAATTATAGGCAACATTTCAAAGCTAAATTAACCCAAGAACCCTTTTCGAGCTGACAGATGAATATAGCTGACAGTTTTTGATCAATTTTGCTGAATTAAACGCGTCTATCTAGCCGTCTTAACACTGGCGCATTGCACAGTTGCCATTGGTGATTCTAGCCGTTCGCTCCCAATCAGACGTGAACAATTTATGTTTTTTAAAACTATACTATTCCCTTGCAATTTCTACAAATTTCAGGCTAATTCTGTTATAATAATGTGTTAGAAAATATTTATTGAAGTTTCCTTACCATTTTTTCAATCGACAGTGGAACAAGTTTGGTACAGACTGCAGAGCGCTCTGTCACAATGATGGTCGTTCTGTCGTGACTGTCAAAGTGCAATCCGAGTCGGATTGTGCTAGTTTGTCCAAGGTGGGCGTGTTGTTTGTAAAACTATTTCCTGTATGCTCGAAAATATGCAAAGCGTTTCGGATATGAAAAACGGAAATTGCTAGATAGTATACTTCAAAATAAGGTTTGGTCACTCCAAATTAGACTTTAGTTTCCCGTCCTCCGCCCGCGTCTCCTAGAACTGGCCGCATGATTTGTCCATTATTGCGAAGTTGTTTCCATTATTTGACTTTTGTGACAAACAATTACGAAAAACCACAGTTTTCAAATAATCTATCGTTCAAGAAATACATATTTATGATACAACACGTAAAAATCGAAATAAAATTCTTGAAACTTTTATCAAAGAGGACAAAGAGCGTGAATTTTTTTCCGTTTTCACTACGAACTGCTGAGCTACACACTCCCGTTGCAAGTTTTGATTTTTGAACGTCAAAACCGATAAGGTTAATGTCCTGGCTTTCATTTCTGCATAAAAAAAACTCTAAAACATTGCGTAGAAACGTGGCTGAATGGATATTTAAAACCCGTATCTATTTCATGAAATAATGGGCCGTGTTTCAACTTTCAGACACCATAATGGATAATGGAAATGGACCGCCCGCCCGCGTGTAATTTGAAATAAGGGCTGGACGGGAAACTAAAGTCTAATTTGGAGTGGCCTTTCCGTTTTTATATCAATTTTTTAAATAAGTTAGGGTTAGGTTAGGGTTATGGTTAGGTTAGGGTTGGGGTTAGGGTTAAGTTTAATATTAGGGTTAGAGTTTAGTTTTGCGTTAGGATGGTTTTTTCTACGTTATTAAAACGGAAATCTTATTTTGAAGTATACTATCTAGCAATTACCTATGAAAAACCGGATATCATGTCATATTATATAGTAGAGTGTGCGCGAGATACTGAAAAATACACAGTACTGAAACGTAGGAACGAGGTTGATCTGCAGCGTCTAAGTGGAGTGGTTATGCCGAAGACAGTCTACGGCATAACCATCCAAGTTGAATGATTACGCCCAGGGACGCCGGAACTGGGGGGGGGCAGGAGGGGCAGCCGCCCCCGTTGCTCTTTGCCAGGAAAGGCAAGGGGGACAAAGGTGCCCTTTCAATTTAAAGGATTGCCTTGGCGAAATAGCGAATTGTCAGAAATGTTAGTGCAAATCTTTTACCAATTTGCTTCAGAAAACGCAAAAAATGCAGTCATCGAGCTTCAAGAATAGCACAATTGCCTGGCGGAGAACCCCCTCACACCCTTATCATCCAATAAATGGAAAACATGATTAGGCGAAGTTCAACTCCCGATGTTTTGCAAACATCTCTTAGTATATATCAATTCAAAAGTGTCCTTTCACGAAAATCTGCCCCCTTGCCTTCACATCGTCCCGGCGTCCCTGGTTACGCCGAAGACAGTCAACCGCATAAACATCTAAGTTGAATGGCTGTCTCCAGGCAACACCAGCGAAAATCGGGCTCTAATTGGTTGTTTTTTCAAGTGCTAATTATTATTCACACTGGAAGTGTTTTAGTGATTCAAACACAGATTATTCAGTAAAGTCACACAGCACAATTTTAATAATATAGTCTATTCTAATTAATAATTAATTACCCAGGGGCCTAAAAAGCCATGTGGTTTCTAGAAGGCTTCTAGCTTCAAATGTTCCGTTCCGCCTAGTGGAAAATTTCGCCTAGTGGAAAACAGCCTTAAGAATTGAGCATGCGCAGTATTTAACCGGATACCATGTTTTTATGGGCTGTACCATTTTTTAGTTGACCGCGCGTAAAAAGGGCTCTGGGTATACGAGAACGGCGTTTCCCCAGAGCCTCAGCAAGCCTCCGCAGAGCATTGCAGGCTCAGGGTTCGAGATTGCAAGAATAGGTAGCCTGCGCTGCCTCCTACCCTGGCGCTTTAAGCCGGTTTTCCACAGCTAGGCGGAATTTTTCTTTATCTTTTCTAGTTAGTTCCACCCGAGAAATCACAAGACAAAGAAAAATTCCGCTCCGCGCGCAAAATTCCGCCTAGTAGAAAACCGGCTTTAGAGAGAAAATATATAAAACGTCGCGTCCTCCCCAAGCACCCCTGCGCGCTCGCTCAGCTTAGGCACTGATAGAAGAACACTTATCGCATATGGAGGAACGTTAGAACAAGATAAATTATTAGCACCGCGTAAAATTATCATATTATAATTTAATTACTAATCGAAAGAATGTCAAATAACACATTCTGGTGAACATTAGCTATTTCACACTCATCTAATCCAGGTAGTTTGCGTTAAAAAATTAAAAGTTTATTACTTCGGAGCCATCATTTTCTTGAATTCTAGAAAAAAAGAGATAGCAAAAACAAATTTTTAGTTTTGACTATAAAAAAGACTTTTTGTATCTGATCATGCACACAGAAATGGGGAATGCACTTTCCGGACTTGTAAATTTAAAGATTTTCTGAAGGGCATGCCCTCTAAAGACTAACGTTTCCGCCAAAATATAGTCTTTTAAATCTACTAAATCCTACTATAAAGTATTAGGGAAGCTTCACATATCGATTCTGTCCACGAGAAACGTCATATGTTCGTTTCTCTGGAGACCCCCCACCCCCCCACCCCCTTAGAAACGTCACACATAGTTATCGATATTTTGTTCTTATAGATATAGTACACCTGATAAGGTAATTTTCTACTGATTTTCTACGGTCGGCTATTGGCGATACTTCCGCGAGGAATATGTCATCTGCTGCTGACATATCTTTTTTCATTAATATATATGAACTTCAAAATTTCCAACGTTTCTCAAAACAACTTTTTTTGCATGAAATATTGATCGGTAATTTTAGCGCGTTTTTCTTAAAATTTGAGTGACTGTTTTCAATGCAAGGAAGGCGTAATAATATAAATGTATACGTATATAGAACAGGTACGGTATTACGAATGTAATTTTTTTATTCTGCAAAGATGATTCCGAAATGTTAAGGCTTTCGAAAAAACTATCGAATTTTTCCATGATGTTTACTGAGAAACGTCACAGCTGCAAACCCCCACCCCCACCCCTAAACGAACATATGACGTTTCTCGTCGAAAAAATCGATATGTGAGGCTTCCCTTACAATGATGCATTCTCAATAATGATTTTTAAATGTTTTACGAGAGGAATGACTCCTTGGCCTACCTTCCCCACCATCAAAACTCTAATTGCGTTCATAATTTACCTTCAAAGTTAACTTTATCATCTTTATCAGTATCTGCAGCCTTAATCATTGCGTCAAGTTCTTTATCATCTGGTTTTGCGCCACAATTAAGCATGGCCTTCTTCAGCTCTGCCTTCGTAATAAACCCATTACCGTCGGCGTCAAATACTTTGAATGCGTCTTGCATTTCTTTCTCGTCTGGGCAACGGCCTTTCATCATTTGTGTGAATTCCTCCTTGTTCAACGTTCCGTTGCCTGAAATGCATGGTCATAGGAATGGTTACTCTTAAAGTGGTACGAATGAACTAAGTTACTAAGGGACCGGTCATTATTTATTGGGGGCGGGGGGGGGAGGGGTGACACCGAAGAGAAAAGGGTTGGGTAAACAAAATTTTGAGTGAGTAAAAGGTTGGGTAAATGAAAAACAAAACAACTCAAGGGTTGGGTAATACAAATTTATTGTCATTTCCAGAGACTGACTCACTCAAATTTGAAGACTAACTAAAAAACAATGTCAACAGGCACATGTCAATACAATACTGTAAATCAATCAAAGTCACTATCTATCTTGATTATTTTCCGATTTGTCAGAAAGCAAATTTAGATTTCTTCTCAGAATGATCGAAATATTACATCGTACGTGCATGCGGTGTCAGTATATAACACTCACCGTCTTTGTCCAATAGTTTCAGCATTTTTGCAATCTCGTCATCTGTGTGGACTTGGCCAGCCTGTTTCATCGCCTCCTTAAGTTCTTTAGCTGAGATTGACCCGTCTCCATTTTTATCAAACAATTTGAAAGCTTCGTCAATTTCTATTAAAAGAAAATCACTTAAACTAGCAATTTATATTTATACAAAAAGCTAATTCAAAAAAGGTTGTCCTTCAAAAAACTTGAACCTTAAATCATGTATTTTTCTTCTCTTTTACATTTAAAGGGGAAGTCAAGTCCGTTCTGCGCATCGGTTCTGCGCATAACAATGTGAGGACCTCTAATGTGAAAATTGCCCAAATTTCGAATGTTTCGAATTTTTCTGAACATAAACTTTATTTCATATTCATTTAGAAGCATAGCGAATCAAAATGCTGTTAGATATTCCGACAGTACATCATATTTTAAAAAATACAGCAGTTCAAAATGTAAACAAACCGTTTGTTTACATTACGGACTTGACTTCCCCTTTAAATAGTATAAATTTGTGCCGCCATTTTGTTTATTTATGTACGTGGCCGGTCGGGGCGGGCAACAATTTTTCACTTGTTGCCCGGCGGGAAACATTGCATTTATCTGAAGTCACGTGACCACAAATCAGCCAATCACGTTTGGTGTTCACGCTAGCTATATAACAATAGATAATGAAGCTTAATGAGATTTATCATCTCATTATCTATTGTCTTAATTGCATTCGACGCGACCAAGATTCGACGTATAAGACAGGCCTTATATTCTAATTCTAACGAGTTTCCAATCAAACCATCACCAATTTTTTTTTTTTTTTTTTATTTATTAACTTTGCCGGCATAAAATTACACAGAGTGCCCGGGACACCGCAACAGCTTATTGCCAATTACTGCGGGCCCAATTGGATACAATCAAACAAACAACAGACATTCAACTGGACAGACTAACAAACCTACGAACAAACAATATTAGTTACTAAAAGCAGCAGGATATCGGATATGCAAGACTTCGTACAGAGTTACATTTCAGGCATATAGTTTTAAATGTTCGAGGATTATCAGGATTATAATTAACTTCTAAAGATTTGTGATAGTATTCCAGTAAGGCTGATCTAAAGGAATTGAAGCAGTTCGTGTCATATAAATAAACTGTACTCACCTTTTTGGCAGCAGCTTCCCTGTGAAAAGAAAAGAAAGTATTATAAAAAATTAAGCAAATATATTATCACCGTAGACAGTAAACGCCATAGAAATATTGTTAGGTTATTTAAATTCAGGCAGGCGACATCAAGGGCGACATTGCTTTGAAATATAAAAAATAAAATTGCGACTTCAGACGCGAACTCTATCTCGGGAAAGAATTAGGTAAAAAGAAAATTTTGACATTTTCAGGTAAAATTTGCGTAATAAAGTCGTTATTTTTGTAAAATGATAACCAATGCTGTAAAATACAGTCAACTTAGATGCGAATTTGCTTTAGAAAACGCCAGAAATGCAGTCCTAAAACCGTTCAAAAATGTAAAAATTTTCAGACCCTCTTTTTCTTAGGAAACTTAGTATGACAGTGGAAAATGGAAATCAATCAGAAAAAGCCCTATAATACGTATAATTATTACACTTCAGTAAATTTTTAACATCGATGTTCAGATTTCAGGAAAATCCTCCCCCCTCTATAAAATTGTCACAGATCAACCGCGTAAGTAAATGTTTTGATAAAGGAAACTATATCCCTCTTGGTATCATTG